CGCGACGGCACCGGCGAGTCCGACGACGACCTCGCGCAACACGACCCTGCGCTCGCTAAGCTGTGCGCGGGGCCCGCCCGCGCGCTCTCGCTCTCGCCCATCTCTAGCCGCAGCGCCTCCGCCGACGGCCCGCCGTCGCCGCGCGAGCGCCCGCGCCCCGCTTCGCCGTACGTTCGCACCCCGCCGCCCCGCGCAATGCTCGCGAAGAGCGCCAGCGCCGCCACCGTCGCCGTCGCCGCCCCCTCCCCGCGCCCCGCGCTCCCGAAGACCACCTCCTCGCTCCAGCTTCACATGCCCCGCGGAAGGGTCGAGTGCATTCCAAGGCCCCCCCGCCCGGAGACCCCGAGGCAGCTCCCGAGGCCCAGGGTTTTCATCAGCCAGCCCGCCGGCAAGAGTACCAATGATACAGACTTTGAAGGCTTCATGATGAGGGAAAGGTACAGTGACGCCACTAGTCGCTCGGAGACTATCACCCCGAGTACCAGTGAGTCCTCGGCCAGCTCGAGGCCTAGGCGCAGCAGTGGCTGGGAGAACGCCCCCGAGAAGACCGTTACCCAGCTCCTGCAGGAGGAGGATGACTACTATTTTAGCGATGACGAGAGCGTCGCGGGCGTCAAGGACCTCTCCAAGAACCTCATCAAGAGGGCTGACTTTGCCGCTGTTATCCCTGGCGATGCCCTGTCGAGCAAGGTCCATCGCGTGCTTAGCAACCTCAGGAGCATCTCCTTCCAAAACCCGGCCGTCGAGGATCCGGATACCGCCTGGGGCCAGGCCTCCGCCCACCGCCCTGCCCTCACGAAAAAGTCTGCAAACAACATTTGCTCAACCGCCTCAAGATGGCGCCGCCCTAGGGGAAGGATCTCTAGCAAGAATGGCGTTCAAGAGTTTGAATGCTACAGTGAGGCCGATGCCGCCTCTATGCACAGCTATACTTCATCTGCCAAACATCCTATCCCCACCAGGAGATACAATCATCGCGATGCCCTCAAAAGCATCCAGGGCCTTACGGGACGCCATCACAAGAACATTTGGAATGCCGCGACCAAGAGGGACCGCACCTCACCAATAACTCCCAATTTCTTGGTCGGTACCGGCCAAGACTATCTCGCTGCTGCTACTACACTCAATCAGCCCTTGCATACAGTCACCGCTATGGTCCCCGCAGAACCGGAATCCCAGGACAGTCGCCGCAGGTCGGTCGACAAGTACGTCGAGTTTATTCATGCCTCAGCCCAGAGAGAGTCGAAGAACAAGTTGCTGTCTAGAAACTTCACAGGTCGAGTATTGCACAGGGCACAAGGCTTGTTCCGTCGAAAGTGGAAGGTGTAAAGGGGGGCCTCGTTGTGTTAGTGTTCACGTGCGATCGTTAATTTTGCTTTGTTGCGCCCAACCCCATTTGGCTTCCATTGTGTCTACATCTTGGCGTGTCGATGTTCGATTCGCCTATTTTTTTTTGCTCCCATAGACGAGGGAGGGTGTATCATATAGCTGCTGCTTGTAGTTTTCTGGGTAAGGAATCGTTGTTTTTTTTGCTTTATTCCACCGGTATGATCCATGTAGAAAACACGCAAAAAAGTCTCCTATCTTGTATTGTTGTCAGCCTCAGCCTCAAACTTAAACTCGCACGCTGGTGTTTTTCTATTATCTTCCTCCTTGTCATCTGGACTGAAATCAGCCAAAGTCTGGTCTAGACTGAAATTTATCCCATGGCTCTGTTTCGTGATTGGAGAGTACAAGGCTCTGTCTAACGCACAAAATATCTTGGTCAAGTGTGGTAAGCCCTCGTCTCGACAGAGTGTGTTGTAGAAGCACTTTGCTGTCACACAGACGAGGCCACAAAGGGTAAGCGGAAAAACCAACAAAAGAAAGAAAAAAAACAGCCAAGTCGTTAGAAAAACAATTCCTCTCTCTCCTCACCGCACATGTGTTTTGTTTCGTCGAACACAGGACAGAAGAAGGAAAAAAAATTCACTTACTCACAAGCAGCGAATGAGTCTCGCCCTCATCTCCATGCCGATCAGTGCTTGTCGTCTCGAACGACTGCCCGAAATCCCGCGCCATATTACTGGTCATCTTGCGAATCGCCTTCATCCTGTTGAACGACATCCACAGCGCAGCGCGCACGACCCAGAAATCCGGTCGCAGCCTTTCCGTCACCCTGACGGCCTTGCGGTCCGCCTCGGTCGCGTCCCGGGCGGGCACGAGCTTGGCGCCGTACCCCGCGCGAATCACGTTGCCCAGCCGCCACTCGTCGCGGATGCGCGGCTCGAGCACGCGGTGCGTCGCGATAGCGAGCGCGGCCGTGTGCAGGTGCACGGCGCTGCGCTCGTCGACCAGCGCCCCGCCGTGCTTCTCGCAGAGCCGCGCTGTCATGTCCTCGATGCGCCCCGCCACCTCGTCCACCTGCCCCTCCAGCTCCGGCTGCTTCACGAGCGGCAGCGTGCGCAGGTACACGAACCGCGTCGCCTTGTTGGCTGCCATGCCCATGATTTCACCCGCCTTGCGCGCCGGCGGCGCCCCGTCCCGCGGCGAGGCCGCGCACGCTAGATTGCGCCCGCGTGCCATCGTGGCGCCCGCTTGTTTCACGGGGCGCGCGCGGTAGAATGCCCCCGCAAGCTGAAGAGTGCGCTGCATGGCGGGCCCGTGGCAAAGGTGCTCGCGTTCTCACTTCTGCCCGAGATAGATGGCGCGTTAGTGCTGTGAGGCAGAAAGCATTTTTGTGCCAGTCGCGCGTAGGGTAGACGCAGCGCAGGCACCGGAAGATGAGCGTCTAAATTCGACGATCGCGAAGAAGAGATGCACTCCGGAAAAACTGTTTTTGATTTTTTGTCGTTGCCGTCGCGCGTGAGGAATCCGCGGCATGTGCTCCTACTGTGCAGTGAACCCTCCCGATAAGGATATGCCAAGTGGAAGTATTCCATATTCTTTTGCGGAGGTTATTCTTGCACTGCTGGCATCTCAATTACGACACCCCCGATGTTTGGCCTTAACAACTTCTGGGCTACAGTACAGTAAATTACCGAGTTGGAAATGATTTGATTTCAGTACACCTGACAAGTGGCTCCGTGGCGCGCGTTGCGCGCCGCAAGTGGGGAAGAATGGGTGCATCCAGAAATTGCCACTCCAACACTGCGACTCTTTTTGGCCAATCACAGGCCTCCGCTGGGCTGGAAATGTAGTGGGCGCCCCACCACTTCTGCTGAAGTGCAAGGACCCCCGAGGGGTCCTTGCACTCCGCCACTCTGCAATATGATAACATTTTGTGGGGAGTTGATCCCCTTCCTGCTCTCAGGATCAACACGGACGACCCAAAATTGCCCATATCCTATGATGGCCAGCCCAAAACGCACACAAGCTCTCGACAAACTCGCAGTGCTCGCAACAGCAGCAGCATCTGTTGCTGCTGTTTCCCTCACATGGAGGGTTCTTCGAAGGAGAAGGATAAACGGGAGAAAACGAAGATCCCGAAAGCCCCCTCAGTATCGCCGAGCGGCATTGATCCGACCGGTTTACACCAGGCTGACAACGGCATGGAATCAAATTTTGTCATGCGGCATCGACGATGACTTTCTCCTCGCGACAAACTTCACAAAGGCCATCATTTTACAGCGTATTCTGCCATTCTTTGAGTCTGAGCGCGTTGGGTTCAATTTTGGGAGCCCATACAGAAACGGTGTAAAGACGAGAGGACGTAAGCCTTTCCTTAACAGCATTGATTTGCTCGGTCTGGCGTTATGGTACATCAAAACAAAAGGAACAGTCTACAATATGTGCCCTATTTTTGGAATTGTATCCTCCAGCGTAAGTGTATGGTTAGACTACAGCTTAGAGGTGCTGATGCGCGTTGTTCGCAAACAAGAGCGAACTGATTTTGCATTCCGCTGGCCTACATTTGCCGAAATGAAGCTTTCAGCAGCTCTTCTCGAAAACAATCGGCAGAATGGAGGCCTTCTCACTGGCGTGTTCGCTATAACGGACAGTGGCAGAATGCCCTGCGCCGACTACACGGACGCCAACCTTCAGAACGCGTACTATGAAGGGTTTACACAGTCTGTCGAGGTGACCAATCCTTCTCGGGGGTAGGGGTTGGTGCGGCATTCGTCGGGGCGCGGGCTGGTGCGGCATGCTTTGAGGTGGCAAACCGTGTGCGGAATGTTGGCGGCGGGGTGGATGTGGCATGTGTGGGTCTCGGGGGTCCCGTGGCTGCGGTTGGTGTGACTGGGTTGGGCGTGGCGGGGGTCGGGGGCGGGGCTACAACGTGTAGATCTTGATTGACGAGGTCAAGGATGACCTCGGCACCAGATGGGACTTGACGGGAAGCCATGGGCGCGAACCACGTCGCAATAATTGGGAGAGGAGGGGTGTTTGGCATGATGTTGGCATGTGTTGAAGTCAAGGAAAGCGAGAAGGCGGGGAAATGGTGTAAGACGGAATACGGCAGCCGCGCTCAGGTTTGGCGGGCTGAGGAGCGCAGTGGTGGCATAGTTGCATTTTTCGACATTTATCATACTGTGTTGGAGTGATGGAGTGGCAATTTCTGGATGCACCCAATGCGAAAGAGTTTGAAAGTCGCTCTCTCGCTCACGAAGGAAGACATGAATGTGCTTCTGACCAAGCTGACGGAGCTCAGGGTGCGAGATTGGAGTAAACAAGTGCTGTCCACCATGCGGGCTCTCGGCCATGGTGGAAGTACAGTAAAGTTTGCGCAGTCACGTAGACGAACCTGCTTGCGAAGTGATCACTTTGGTTTCTGCACGAAGAAAAGATAGTTGAGAGTGTAGTCCTTTGACTCTCTGTTTACTGAGTAGTGAGTCAACTCAAATGCTGGCGCAACAGATCCTACAAAGCCTTGGCTAAACGAGAGACAGCGGCAAAAATGCTATAAAAGGAAGAACACTAAAAACGGTAACAAGTAAAAGGGAGTACCGTATCCAGAAAGGGATGATATTCGGAATGGAACCAGATGGTACGTACAGTGCGTGAAACAGGAATAACTACATCCATCGACTACCACGTAAACCATACTTCCCGTACCCCTTTTAAAGCATCGCCTCGTGTACAGCACCAGTGCACCGCGGAACAACCTTTTGTAGAGGCCAACTGCTGCAAAAGGATACTGTTCTGGAGTTAGCTCTTGAAAACCGCGCGAAACTCGTATAAATACGCGAAATAACATTAATTCACAGTACCTTCAGGGCGCCAAAACAAGACCGTAAAGCGCTATATAACGCTCCAAACATCACGATAAGAACTCCGATTACTTCTTTATGCAACCCAAACATCTCAAGCATCCACAAAAAAAACCAACATGCCTCGAGGCCCTTCCATAACAGATATTGAACGTGAACAGATCCTGGCACTCCACAAATAATGCAGTTCATTCTGCAGCATTGCAGACTGTCAATCGGTCTGTAGAGGCAGTACAGGGTGTCGCACGGCAATTATTTAAACAAAAACATCCTAAACACTGGACAAGAAACTAGAAAATATCAGAAACGCAGAAAAGAGCTGTAATTCGGATGTCTATAGAAGGGGAAGATAGCGCAAAAGCATTTCATGCTGAGCTCAAGCTGCCCATGGGGCACAGACACGTCCAGCAATTACTGAGCGCTGTGCGCTACCTCAAGTATAAAAATAATAATAACGGTACTGCGAATGACCCCTCAACACAAACAAAACACGGTCAAGTGGTGCCGTAAATTTTTAAGCGACGGTGAGGAGTTTTAGCAAAGGTGAGGAGTTTTGGAACACTGTAGTCTTCAGTGATGAAAAAACTTCAATGGTGACGGTCCCGATGGTTTGGCCTCATACTGGCATGATCTTCGCACCAGAGAGCGAATGTTTTCTGAGCGACAAAATGGTGGGTTTTCTGTCATGGTATGCGGTGTTTTCAGTTTATACGGTGTGCCGGATAATGGAGAAGCCTAGCGCGAGCAGCGCGGCGCTTAATCCAGACGTTGGGAAGATAGCCAACGTCGAGGCGATAGTGGTCGCCCTTGTTCGGGAACGTACACTTCATATTGAAGATACAAACCTGGATGGAGGATTTACTCGCTGAGGAATGACCTCAGGTCGTCCAGGATTGCTTCGACCGAACGGTACCAAGGCTGGTGGCGGAGCATGCGAACACCGCGCTCCGCGCCCTGCGGGACGAGAAAATCGCCCCATTGTACGCGACGAGGTGGTGGCAGCGCTCGCCGCGGAGGATGACGAATCTCCGACCGCACCGGCTCTGAAGGGAGCTGTAGTGCAATGCGCCTGTCAGGCAGAGACCGCGGTCCGATGGTCCAGCAAAAACAACAACAGCAACAAAAAGAAGAACTGCCGATGGCACAGCGCTACGGAGTGTCCGACTCTCTCTTCTCCGTTTAAACGAGCTTGCGACTCGTAGTAGCTCAGATCCCTGATCGGGGGCCACAGAGAAATAGCCCGGCCCGGGATCCATGTGGTAGAGACTTGCGAAGAAAACTGCTCGACGAGTGTGGGGTGGGGCGTGTACTTAGGTACTCCAGTTCCACTGGGTTGTAACGCCAATGCTCGTTGAGCTTCTTCGACACCTTGTAACGCGACAAAGCCTTCGACGGGGGCGTCGCAACGCAGCCTGACGGGATGAAACGAAAGTAGCAGCGCTACACCAACTGTGCCGCCCGATGGCTCGAAACACCTACACGGGTTCGGTCGCAACCGAGGCCGATGGCACCAACACTGGCTTGTACACACGGCAAAGCCCTTCGAGGGAGACGTCGTTGCAACGATCTCCGTCGGAAAATGGGTCACAGTAGCAGCGCTACGTCAACTGTGTCGCCCGATGGCTCGAAACACCTACACCGGTTCGGTCGCAACCGAGGCCGATGGCACCAACACAAGATTAGAGAAAATAGGTAGTATTAGAGATAGAAAAGGATAGGGAAATAAAGGAAAAGGAATGGGAACCCCCGAGCGCAAAGGATAAAGTAATCTGTAGTAAAAGAGAATGTCTTGTGAAAGACGGACTTCGACCAAGGCGGTAATAGACTCTGGCAACTCGGGTTACCTTTACTGACTTGGTGGTCAGCGGGCTAAGGTATATATCGCCCAGCCGGAGCCACTACAGTAGCTCGCGGCGCTAGATCCTAGATCTAATCTAATGTCAGCAAAATTAATACTGACTACTTAATTAAATAAAATTAGTAATTAAAATAAAAACTGTGCAAATATTCACACGTGTGTCCCCCAATCCCTGACTACAGTTTTCACATTCCAACTTAGTTTCTTTTCCCCTCACCCCCTTGTGCAACCCCTTATTGCACTACATTAGCTATTAGCTCCGCCGTGGCCATCCGTCTGGCCACGACATTTACCGAAGCGGGAGGCGCGGTACCGCCGCCGACGCCGCGCGGAAAACCCGTTCCGGGCTCAAGCTTTAATATTGCTGATCCGATCGGCGTCGTACCAGGGATGGATACGATGGACCCTTACCCGGAGGGCAGAGTCATCTATCTCCCAACCGTTCAGGGTGCTACAGGGAGGACCACAGAAAATGTCCTCCCCATACTCGCCAGCATGGGCGACCCCCGCGGGACAGACAACCGCCTGGGGCTCCCCGAGACAGAGAATTGGGACCCGTACCGGTTGAGCAGAAGACGTGCACCCGGCACGCACAGGACAAAAGCGGAATACACCCGGTATTCCGACGCAGAAGACCCCCGTCACAGGACGGATGAAGACCGCGAGGAACGCCGCTGGCGATACCGCGATAACTGCGAGGCACGCCACTGGCGATACCACGATGCCGGAGGGGGAGGATACCCCTCCGATGATGACCCATCCGGTTCGGAAGACTCTCGCAGGCGGGGCCACAGGGCACGCCGCGATAGAAGCCGAGACCGTCACCGGCACGGCCCGTCCGACTCGTAAGACTACCACACCGAGTTGGATGAGGAGCGTCGTCGCTCGAGCAGACACCGCCAGGCTGCCTCGAAGAGCGACGAACGACGGCCCACGGTAATCAGGCCGCTCAATGACCTGTTTACCAAGGCCGTCAACCACAAGACCTACCGCCTGGAACGGCGTAGCTCGCGCTACGACTCTACGGTAGCGCGGCACATTAACCCTTACCGGAAAAACTGGACGTGCAGATGAGGTCCCACACGTTCGGCGGTCAAGATCCGATTGCGGTATTGGGATTCCTCGCACCCCTCAACATGGAGTACGAAGACAACGGGATTACGGAAGGAGCCGCCGTGTGGTGCTTCCAATTCTGCCTGACCGGGCAGCCTCACGCCTTCCTCCAGTCCCGTCTCAATGGAAACACCATGGCGGCTGACGTGGAGCGGCGCGAGCTGCACCGGACATACCCACAGGTGGTCAACTTTCTGTTGCGCACATACGCTACCGATGAGGTAATCTCCGAAGCGGTTGGGGATGTGACCTCCTTCCGTCAGAGTTCAAACGTGATGGAGGAGGTCTGCAGTAACCACCTCTGGAACAAGGCACTCCGCTGCGGTACGGTATTCCTCGACCGGCGGTTGAAGTCCGTATTCGTTGAGGGGTTGCTGCCCGCCACGTGCGCGCAGGTCCGCAATTACCTCGCCACGCACCCGGATGTGGATTACCAACCCGTCGCTCGCTATGCGCAAGCGATCGGGGAAACCAATCGGGCTTCCCGTTGACAGGGGATGGAAGCCATGGCGCATCGAGAGCAGCCCGGAGCAGCTAGAAGATTCGACCGCACCGCAAGGACAAGGCCCGTGCTGTCGGTTGAGTCGGCATCCGACATCCCGACAGCCGGGGAATTTGCTGAAGAAGCAATCGTGGCTGTGACGGACCAAACCGCCACGCCGACCTCGATGAGCTCGCCACCGACGAGTTATTATCCGTCGCCGGCAGCCTCGACGGCGGGTGCCTCGGTTCCGCCCGCCAACTCTGGTGACGTGCGCACAGGACCGTACGGGAGGCAAGGGCAGGATCCACGCGTCCGGTTCTCCGGCGGGAGATTTCCCGGACCGCCACCGTGCCGGTTCTGCCTTGACACCACGCACCGACAAGAGGAGTGCCCCGTCGTTGCCGATGCGAGCCTGCGGGCCAAGCTTCTGGAGGCACGAGAGGCCAACTAGCAGAAGTTACGCATCCGGCAAGGCCTCCGCCGGGGATCCCCGTTCAACCGCCAGGGGCCGTCCGCTTGGCGAAACCAGCGTCAGGGGGCCCCCGCAGTCGTCAACGTGGTGGAGGAACCGCACCCTGACCATGCCGAAGACCACGTCGCGCAAGCTGCGGATGAAACCGGCGAGGAATTGCTGCTGACGGGAGAAGCCGGGGAGGACGCGTAGAGGCGACGACGTCTCTCCCCGTGCCCAGCCTCGGAAGCTTAGGCACCCCAGATCCGGCTGCGCCAGTGGAAGCGCAGCCGGGTAACCGAACAGAAGTCCAGGCCATCTGCTTCTCCAAGAAGCAGAATTACAAGATCTCCGCTACGGTTGGTCAGAAGCAGGCGTTGATGGTCGCCATCACGCCAGTGCTTGACTCAGGAGCCGGCCCGAACCTCATACATTTACGGTGTGTTGCCGAGTCGTGGCGACCATCGATAAAACCGGTTGGGAGCCCAGCGCTCATCGACGCGTCAAACTGCGCGATGAAGGCGCTAGGGGAAATCCCCTTGCTCGTCCGAATCGGTGAGTTTGTGGCACGCGTCCCGTTCCTAGTAGTCACGAGCCTCGCCGTGGACTGTATCCTCGGTACGACCTTCCTGGATCGCCACGTCAAGGCGATCCTCCCACCGCAACAGAAGGTCGTGTTCCACGACGCGCTACCCGTAGCGTTGGTCGGAACAACCCCCTCGAGCCATGACCGCAAGATGGTCTCAAGGAGCACCGCACAACAACTACCACCGTCGGATAAACCCGAACGGAGGGAACTGGCATTCTTAGCCAACGCACCGTCACGGAAGATCCGCCTCGTCAGAGAGGTGACAATTCCCCTGATGACGCAGGCCATGGTGAGGGTCGCCACGCCGGTGGGGGGTTATGTTTTTTGCAGGACTCCCCAAAAACCACGCGCAAGAATTTGGCCCTCATGGCACAAGGGGTCATGGATGTTGTCCCCGAAAACCCGTTCTCGGTAATGCTCAGCAATTTTGGGCACCGCTCGGTTCACATCCCGAAGCATACCGTAGTCGGACTGGCTCTTCCGTCGCCCACTCACATCCTGACCCTTGGCGACTCGGCCGCTTCCGCGGCCGAAGCTAAGGAAGGGGGAGGGATATTTAATTCCAACCCCTCAACCGCAAAGGATGGCGCGAAAGAAGCCCCCGACAACCGTACGGACAAGGGCGGGTCTGAACAAGCCACGCCGCCCAAGGCGCCCCTCGGGACGGTTGGAACGGATAAACCCGAAGACACCGCCGCCCCTGAGTAGAACCCGAACGCCTGGCAGGAGGACGTCCACATCGGTGCCGAGGACGAGGAGGTACGCTGGGAGGTCCTCGAGGTACTGTCCGAATTCAGGGGGATGTGGACCGGCCAACTGGGAAAAATCGGGGCCACGAAGCACCGCATTGAGCTCGAGCCTGGTGCTCGCCAGATTTACAAGGCGCCTTACCCTGCCGGACCAACCGCACGGGAAAAGGAGAAAACAGAGATCGACCGCATGCTACGGGCAGGGGTAATCGAACCCGCCACGGCCGAATGGGCAAGCCCTGTAGTATTCGTCCGTAAAAAGGAAGGTACCATGCGGTTCTGTGTCGACTACAGAACGCTCAACGCAGTTACCGTTCGGGATTCCTATCCGTTGTTGAGGATGGACGAGTGCATCAATTCCCTCGGCGACGCTACTGTCTTTACCACGCTGGATTGCAACAGCGGGTATTGGCACGTAGAAATCGCCAGGAGGACCGTGACAAGACGACGTTCGCGTCGCACTGCGGATTGTACCGTTTCCTCCGCATGCCGTTCGGTTTGAAGAACGCCCCCGCCACCTTCCAGCGGGCCGTCGACATTATACTGTCGCGGGTAAAATGGGAAACCGCACTGGTCTACCTGTATGATGTGATCATCTACTCAAAGACTGTAACGGAACACTGTAGTGCAATGTGCCTGTCAGGCCGGAACCAGGGTCTAACGGTCCAGCAACAACACAGCCAACAAACAACAACCAACAAGAGTTGCCGACGGCACAGCCCTACGGAGTGTCCGATTCTCCCTTTCCCTTTAAGTGGGTTTGCGGCCCACAGTAGCTCAAGTCCCTGATAGGGGGGCAAAAGGAAGATGCCCGGCCCGGGACGAATGGTGGTAGAGTCTTGTACAGGCAGCTGCTCGGCGAGTTCGGGGCGGTGATTAAGAAGCCGGGTCCGATGGGTCGTAAAGCCAATGCTCGCTGAGCGCCTGATACACCTTATACCCTGTATAAGGTCTTCGACGGGGGCGTCGCAACGCAGCCCGACGGGAATTAGCACACACATAGCAGCGCTACACCTCCGTACTGCCCGATGGCAAAGTACCGACACCGGAACGGTCGCAACCTGTATCCGATGGAACCAACACTGTCCTGTATACACAACAGGACCTTCGAGGGAGACGTCGTCGCAACAGCCTGCGTCGGTGGACGTGAACAAGTAGCAGCGCTACACCCACATGTCGCCCAATGGCTAAGACACCTACACCGGTCCGGTCGCAACCAAAACCGATGGCACCAACAACAAACAAAAGACCCAACGCAAGAGCCCGATAACTCCAGTCGTCACAATGCAGATCGCAATCAGGCACTGTGCAACCAACACAAGATAAGGGAATAGAAATAGAGATAGAAATAGAAATGGATAGGTGAAATAAAGGAAAAGGAAAGGGAACCCCCGAGCGCAAAGGATAACGTAATCTGTGGTAAAAGGGAGCGTCTTGGGAAAGACGGACTTCGACCAAGGCGATATTCAACTCTAGCAACTCGGGTTACCTTTACTGACTTGGTGGTCAGAGGGCTAAGGTATATATCGCCCCGCTGGAGCCACTACAGTAGCTCTCGGCGCTAGATCCTAGATCTAATCTAATGTTAAATAACTAATATGCAACTAATTAAAATTAATGATTAAAATAATAAAGTGAAATAATTTTCACTTGTCACCCCCCCACTTTGTCATACCCCTCAATTCCTTTTCTTTTCACCCCCTCACGGTGCAGCCGATTATTGCACTACATATCCCCCTTCCGAGCGCTCTTGTACGCCGCTCCGCCATCGTATAAGCTCCTCGCCGTTTCTCTCATACCCGTACATCGCCGTTTCCGGTAACCTGCCGAAGTGCAAGAGCAAGACAAGCCTTACGTTTTTTTCATCCCCGAGCCATTCGAGTGGTGGTACCAAACGCAAGCGCTACGGCGCGGGCTTTTCTTCCACTTCCCACGACCCTCTAGGTCTTCCTTCCATCCCTCGATTACCCCCCGATTCCCAACATGCTGGCCCTGTTGGCCACCTTGATTCCGATTCTAACGCTCCGTCCTCGCGTCGATACCCTGCTGCGTCGGAGCTCCACGATAAGGCCATGCGCCTTAATCCTGTGCTTTTTGCTTCCGCTAAATGGTTCTCTGTGATCGGTTTATGCGCCTTCGATGACATTGCTTACTCGTTCGCCGACGGCGCCGGTATGCTTCCAGGACAAATCCCTCTTCAAGCTATCCGGTCTTACGATTGGTTGGCTCGCATCGCCATTCCTCCCTCCATCTTGTGTCACACTCCGCCTCGTGGTCGTGCGGTGTTATCGACCAGCTTCATGACCGCTGTGTGCGACAGGCTTGAGCTGCCATTGACGCAGGATCTCATCCCTGAGGAATTCGGTTGTGACACGTGGCAGTTTCGCACCGATGGCGAGCGGTATTACCTCGATAACATCCTGGCCTGGACCTCCGATAACCCTCCTCGTGAAGCTATCCGCCTTTGGTTCAACCAACGGACCGTCTCGGGCGACGCTATGCTGTGGACCAACGCCATAATTCCGGCTGATTTCCGATTTATTAAGCGGGGTACCATCCCCTTCTTTCAGCACACAGTGCGCTTCGAACGCCGTATTCGTTCTGACACTGGTTATTTTGTGGCCTACCAGATGTTGGAGGCGCGCGAAATCGCGAGGTGCCATTACGCGAATCGTTATCAACGTATTCCGTCGTGGTGGAGCCAATTTGAGGTCTGCCAAGGCTTCTGGGCTGAGCTCGGCCCTGTGTACACGTATTACGGAAGGTATTTACGTGATCCTCGGCATGGCCTTTGGGTAGTCTTCCTCACAGAGTGGTGTACCAAAGTGGCAGTGACCCTCCTGTGGGAGACCTACGACTGCTGGAGGTTGTGGTACTTGCCTCCCCAGCTCATCAGCCTCATGCGACGCCTCGATTATTCGGTTCCCCTGGGCGGTGCTGATGCAGATACCGAACTGCATTCTCTCCTCAATAAAATAGAGGATGTCGATTGGGACTTGATACCGCGTCAAAATTCCTCTCGTTCCTTCGTCCGGCAACGGCCCTCCTTCTCTCCTGGTCTTGCTCATCGATATACCTTGGCCACAAACACACGCACACACACACGAAGCCTTCTGCACACGCCTTCGCTCCGCACGCCGCCCACTGCGGCCATATATTACTCTACCATAATATACACACACGAACCCACGCACATTCCCCTACTCTCTTTCCACCCCCCTTTCCCGCAGTGACCGGCACAAGTCGACATTGCCCCCGCTACATACAATGCTCATGCTCATGCTCATGCCTATGATCATGCTCATGCCCCCACAACGGCCGGGGGAGCCGCGCTTCGTTTTCCAGCCGTCGGCAAAATTTCATCCCTGCACCTTTGCATCCGGACTCCAATCTTCCATCTTCCATCTACCGACCACAGCACGAGCCTTGAAACTTTGTACGCCAGCAAACCAACCTTTCCCCCCTCTCCCCCGAACAACTTAAAAGCCGGCCCCGCAGCCCGTCCTATCCATCCCATCACCTCCCTATAACCATCTTATCTAGCCCCACCACCCTCAGCCCCGCCAGCCTCAGCCCCACCAGACTTGGCTCCGGCACGCCGAACTAACCTCTCTCTAATCTTGAACAAAGCAATCGCTGACCTCGTCCTATATTGCTTGCTGTGCACGTGTACCAGTAGGATTCCGACAAAAGCCCAGAGAAAACTGATTTTTAACAAAGACAGAAAAAGGGACGTGCGTCGGAAGATGGGTGAGATCAAGTGTTACATTGTTTAGAATGTAATACGCTCAGAAAGAACAATGAGTAGATGAGAGGCTTTGATGATATGGTGCTACACATCTGAACTGCTGTCGATTGGCTTCTCAACATCATCATCGTCGTCGTCATCACGAAACAATCCACTTAGCTTTCTTCCCCTCTGACTGCCAGGAGGCAAGTCGGCGTTAGCATCACCGGGAAATTTTTCTGCGCTGCAATCCCGAAGACTGTTGAACAGTCGAGATGCAATCTCGCTTTGTTGATCAGCTGAAAGGCTGCCCTGAGGTGAGAGAAGTGCTTTCATTTTGTCGAATTCGAGCTGTCTCTCCTTTAGAGCGAGATCACGACTCGCGAGGTGATACTTATGCTGTTGGGGTTTTTCGTAGATATCAGAAAGCTTCGCGCTTGACTCTGCAACTTGCATTATTGCTTTTGCATCAGAGTCTTCTTTGGGGCTCTCCTTGCACTTCTGAGAAGCCCTTTTGGCTTTCTTGGCTGATTTCGTGCCCTGCGGTCTTGCACGATCGCCGTGTTTTGTAGCAGAAAAACCGGCAGATTCACTATGTGCAGCAGCTCCAATCCCAGCATCACTGCCGTCCACAACATCATGAGCACTTAATTCATCGTCTTCGAAAGCAACGTCTGCAATTGGTCTTGAAGTAGATTGCCCCACTATTTCGTCCCCTCCAGCGTCCAGTACAAGAGCATTCTCTGCTTTCATCCTCTCATGGCACTCGAGAAAGGGAAATGGCCTCCCGATACGGTAATTTGGGGTTCGTAGCACGACGTAAACCTGTGACATTACTGCTGCTGTAGCACTTCGGTTTTTCCTTTTCGTTGTACGCAAACGTTGCACATCGGATGAGATCTTCCCTTGTAGGGCCTCCTGTGAGATTCATTCCCTCTAGTCTCGGCATAAAGCTGTCAAACAACACGCAAGCTGTCTTGATTTTGGAGAACTGTTTGTGGCAGGTTTGCGGAGAGAGTCCAGCCCAGCGTCGAACATCACGCGCGCATCCTGTATTGAACACGGTGCACGCATCAGATGGTATAGACCTTGCAAAAACTTTCCTGGATCCGCCGCCCATACGCAGCGGCTGTCATAGAGGCGCCTCTCTCGTTGCTCATTGAGACCAGACTCTCCGCGACGCACAGTCCCAGATTCTCCGTGCTAGACCATCCCAGACCCTTACCTTTGCTTCGTGCCCTAGGCGCTTGAACACTGCCACCGGCAGGTGCTTCCGCCATTTGACGCTGGGGCAAGATGGCGCTGAAGAGAGAAAAGCGCAATCTGCGACTGTGCTCTGGCGTCCACCGCCAAATGTCTGGGCACCCTGCCGGTACAGGCTGACAGTTCTACCAAAGTGGACGTCCCTTTTAGTAGAACTGTCAGCACGATGAAAATCTGTTAAATTTGTACACTGTTTTTTAGGAACATTCTTGCCCAAACGGGGTTTGGGCAAGAATCTTGCCCAAACATTTTTGGTTTGGACGAGAATCTTGCGCAATTTCCAAACTTTGGGAATGGTAGAGGCGCGGTGGGGTATGCCAATCTTGCCCAATGGTCTAAAATTTGGTGGTTGGAAAATTGGGCAAGGTTTTTCGTCCGCGGTGGGGTCACCCTCAGCGGGATACTGCACGGGTCGTACCGGTTTGCGTCATGGACGCCCCTATCACTTCACCTACCCAGAGTCCATCAACGGATCAAAGCACCACAAGATTTGCCACATATGCCGCCAAAGCAATCGCAGAACAGAGACAGGAAGAAGGCTCTAAAAAGCGGTCCTCTCCAAACGGCCCCCCTCAGCCTGTCAACAAGACGAAACACATCGCCCTTTCGACTGACATCCTTTCTATCCTTGTGGCGAGCTACAATATTCGCTTCAGCGATTATTCGCCCAGGTGCACGTGATCCGTCGGACGGCACAACGATGTACCAGACTTGCGTTTGTTGCGGGCAGGTACCTTGCTGGAGGTCAGTCCGCAAAACTCGTGGTGGGATTTTTCAAACTCGGGTTTACTTTACGTCC